TTAAAAACAAACAAACAAAAAACAAAATAAAAGGAGCATTCAGTCATAGGATTTTTAGGGCAGTGAAAATACTCTGTATATTATAATGGTGGATACATGTCATTATACATTTGTGCAAACCTATAGAATGTACAGCACTAACAGTGAACTTGAATGTAAACTATGGACTTTGTGTGATTACGATGTCAGTATAGGTTCGTTGAATGTAACAAACATACCATTCTGGTTGGGATATTGGTAAAAGGGGAAGCTATGCATGTGTGAGGGCAGGTGATATATGGGAAATCGCCGTATCTACCTCTTAATTTTGCTAAAACCACTCTAAAAAATAAAGCCTTTTTAAAAAGCAGTCAGTGAAAGCCTTTCTCAGGAGGTAACATTTGAAATGAGGAGCCCTTCTTGCAAGGATAGTGGTTCTCAAACCTAGCATCCATCAAAATCACCTGGAAGACTTGTTAAAACAGACTACTGGTCAGAATGTCTGGAGTGGGGCACAAGAATATTCATTCCTAACAAGACCACAGATGCTGCTGCTGCTGCTGGTCCAGAAGCCACACCTGGAGAACCATCGATCTATAGGCAACAGCTAAAGGAGTATGAGTTACTTTAGTGTGTTCGAGGAACAGAAAAAGGCCAGTTAGGAGGAAGGGTAATGTACTTATCAGAACCACTTAAGATGGTGAATTAAGCTACCATCTATGGCTCCCAAACCAGAGATGGAATCATGGGTTGGTCAAAAATACCTTGCATTTGAAAAGCATTCCACAGTTTATACAGCATTTTCACATGTATTATTTAATTTGACTTAGTGAGATATAAGTGAAGGCCTATTAGCTACATTTTAGAGATAAAAAACTGAAGGACAGAAACATTATGAACCTGAGGGAACCAGAAAACAATTAAGTGGCAGAACTATGTCCCCTGCTTCCAAATCCAGTGTTCCTTCCAGAACAGCATGTTCGCTTTTTTAAAGAGCAAAACAAAACATACATATAGAAGTTAATACTAACAAATTATCTTCTAGGCTCCTTGCCTAAAAACATTGTGACTTCCCGGCGTAATTTATTTTAGATACTAGTTAGAAAGCTACATTACTTTAAGATTAACAGTAGTTAGTCCCATCTACTTATTTCTCCTAGTTCAAAAACAAAGGATAGAGAAATAAAGCGGGAATTTACAGACTATTATTCTCTCTCCTGCATAAATATCAGACAGCCAATTTCATTACCTCAGGCCCTCAGCCACATAAGTCAAACACAATTTTCATCTTTTGTTCCCTCTAATCTCTCACCGAATCCAGGTTCCCACAAGAACAGTGAATCCCACATATCTTACTATACTTATGAGGCCATGAGCAGTTAGTTATACACCCATTACCCACCTATCTGTATACCCATTATCATTTAGTATCTTTGCCATCAATCAAACCCTTATTCTTTATATACCGTATTTGCTGGCGTATAAGACGACTGGGCGTATAAGACGACCCCCTAACATTTCCACTCAAAATACAGAGTTTGTTATATACTCGCCGTATAAGACTACCCCCTCTTCCGCACACCTTCCACACACCAAATAAAAGGTAAAACAATATCAGATTTGATTTGGCCCGCTGAAGTGCAAACAAGCGTATTGTATTTCGTGTCACCACATAACCGTTTTGGCGATGTTGAGCCACCATGTCTGCTACATGTTTTTCGAGTTCTGGCCAGTGTGGGGTGCCTCTTCTTAATGCACACTTACCCCTTGGCATACTCTTTAATGCTTTCTCATTTGATTTCCAGTCCCGAACCATCTTTTCTGTTACTCCATATTGTCTTGCAGCAGCACAATTATTATTTTCCTTAGCAAAGTTTATAACTTTCAGTTTAAAATTTGCATCATACTTCTTTCTTTTGGCTGGTGCCATGATAGGGATGATAGGGGTTTGACTGGTCGACATTTTCTATGCTGTACTGTACAATGGTGCAGTATTGTGGTTGGCTGTTGGCTGTATACAAAGCCTGATTTGATTGGTTCCTGCTCCCTGTTTGCCCGCCCTGTCACTATAGCAGTCTGGTCCACCCTTGCATCAGCATCTCCCTGGGACCTCACTAGTGCGCAAGTGGGAGCTCTTCAACATTCTAACAGGCACCATGATAGCGCAAAATCGCGAATCTTCAATGCATATGTAAAGAAATATACGGTAACCCGAATTTACCACACTCGCAAAATCGCACACAGCCGACCATACACCCAGCAGCGCTGCTGATGCCTGAACGGTATGTGGAATGAAGTGGGCGGGCATCGGGAGGCCACTATGGCACGGGGCAAGCACTATGGGCAGTCTATCTGAAGTGTACCTGGCGTATAAGACGACCCCCCACTTGGAGGCATATTTTTCAGGGCCAAAAAATCGTCTTATACGCCGGCAAATACGGTAACATTCTCACCTGAATGTCTCAACAATACTTCAAACCCAAAACACCCAAAACTGAAATCATTATATCCCACACACACAAAACCTGCTCTGTGCCTGAATTTTCATTTGCAGTAACAGCACTGCCACCCATCAAATAAGAAACCTGGAACTCAGCCTAGACAAGTTTGTCTCTCCCTCACACCAATCCTAATGTGTCCTGTTTTCCCCAATCTCATTTCCATGGCTACTTACAATTCCCATGGCTACTTTCTCCCATAGCAAAATGCTCCCTTCCTTAATACCTGATATTAGTCTTTTACTACCCATTCCAAATGCTAATTTCTTACCTAGATTATTGCCAAAATTCTATAATTGGTCCTGCCTCCATCCTTGACTTCCTTTACCCTTCAACATGCCCCCAAGTGATCTTTCTGGATCACAAATGTGATCTTTTTATCCTCTTGATATAAAAGTCCTTCAGGGACTCCCTTAAGTCTACACTGTACAGGATACACTCTACAGGATGAATCCCAACCCTTTAATACAGGTCCACAATCCTTACCACAATCCTATAACTCAGAAGCTTTAAAATTTGTTTCATAAATTTGCAAAACTCACCCTGAACTGCAGAAAATTCTTTGTCATCTATCCCACTGGTGTAATATTTGTATGTTTCACCACAGAAATATTAATGTGTTTGATAATGTGTTAACCCAGAAGCTACTGGAGTATTATTCTTACCAAGAAAAAAAAAATTCCAAACTATTCTGAAGTCTAAAACACACCTGGTCCCAAGGGTTTCAGATAAGGGATTGCAGACCTCTTACTTATTCAGCCCATCAATCCAACCTAATTTCTACCAATCACCTTACACATCTCTTAGCTTCAGAGATGTGTAAGGTGCCCTGTGCCCTGAATACTCTCCAATCCAGTGAGTGAGCTACTCACCTTTCAAGAACCCCGTTCAAGGGTTTCCTTTTCAGTGAAGTTCCCCTGAACTTCTCTTGATTGTGCCACAACCACTGCAGCAAGTACCCACCTCAAGTGCTATAGGTTTTATATTTATTTCCCCTGTTAGACAGTGAATGAACTCCTCATCGAGTATTTTATTCAACCCTAGTGTCTGGAACACTAGGAGTTCATTAATATACAATGCACTAAAATCCATGCCCAGCTCTCCCTAATTCCCAATTCCCTTCAAAGTTCATTTCTGCTTCAACCCTAAACCTTAGGATTTTTCCCTAACCATGCAGGGCCCTAACAGTTATTTTCGTTGCCAGGGTTTCTCCTTCCCAATGTCATCTTAAAATTACTTTCTATCAGACGACTTCTCTTAACCCCAAACACTCCAACGCCCTTTATCCTCCTCTATTTAATCCCTAGTCCATCTTTCCCCTAGTCTTGAACAGGTACAAGTCCTCTCCCACCAAGGCAATTCGTACTCAGAGCTCTCATCTCTTACCTGTTCCCTTCCTCCTCAACATCTCTCCCGGCTCCGGGCCTTCCCTCCCAAAACGCTTCTCACCAGACCCACCTCTGCTCCCCAGTACAGGTCCAAGAGCTCAGAAACCTGCTCTCGGCCCGAGTCCACGCCTTCCTGGCCCGTATCCGCACATCGCAAACCTCCCCGGCAGCGGTGTCCCCTCCCCCAATCTCCGGCTGCCTGCACCCCTCCCTTCACCCTCCGCGTTATCTCTGGCGGTCCAGCTCCTCTGGAAACTGTCCCAGGGGCCGTGTCTTTCACCTCTTATTTAGACTCCTCAGGATCGCGCCGTCCGAGGTGCACTGAGCCCGAGCACCTCGGTCCCCAGCTCCTTCTCGGCCCCGCATAGCCCCTTTAGCCCAAATCTCGGACAGGGCCTCCCGCTCACCTTGCTGGATGTCGCCGTTGCTGCCCCCGGGGATGGGCACGCTGAGCTGGCGCTCTGGCTCGGGCAGGCAGCGCAGGCAGAAGGAGTGAAGACAGGGCAGCAGCTTGGGCTCCGCCTCACGCCGGCTCTGCAAGCTCTGCTGACACACGGCGCAGGTGTCCAGGAGCGAGGCTGGAGGTCCAAGAGGCGGCCCCGCCGAGGGACCTGGAGCGGGAGCCGAGGCTGGAGCTGGGGCCGGCGTCGATACCGTCCCCCCGGGAACTCCAGGGCCCACTGAGGCCGCAGGGGCTGAGGTTGCAGGGGCCGAGCCCGAGGAGGCCGCGGCCACCCCCCCGTCGTCGGGCCCAGCCGTGCAGCTCTCCGCGCCGGCCCTGCTGCCTTCCTCCTCCTCCTCCTCCACCAGCACAGCGGCGAGAGGCGGCTCCGCCTCCTGCGCTGTGAGCCCGGCGGCCCCGGCAGTTACCGGCGTGCTGCCGCTGCCCCCACCGCCGCTCTCAGCCTCGCCGCCGCCTTTGTTTTCCGCCATGTTTTCCTCTTTGAACCCGCCGGACCGCCCCGCGCCGCCAGCCGCCCGCCGCCCGCGCCGCCGCCGCCCCCAGCCCCAGCCCCAGCGAGAGCGGCCGCCGAGAGCGAGCAGGCAAACGAACAGACGAGAGCGCACGCGCACGTGGTGCCCCCGCCCTCGCGTCGCGCGGTTGCAGTGGGCCAGGCGGTGCGCGCGCACGTACGCACAGACGTCCTCTGAGGGAGGCGGGAACTCCGGGCGCGGGCGCGGGCGGTCTCAGCTGCACCTCCTGACCTCCGGGCCCGCGCGTTGCGTCCGCGCCGGGGCGATTTAGCTCGATTTTAAGGCAGGGGCCGTTTATGTTGAACTGCTTTTCGCTAGAGGTGGTTCTGAGCTCAGATGCAACGGTGATGTGGGGAGGAGAATGGGGAAGGGGAGGAGGCCAGAGCTGGTTCCTGCAGAGCGAGCGTCTCTCTAGCGGCGCCGTCCCCGAGGTGGACGCGTCACCGCGGAAACCTCTTTTGCACAGTGGGACGCCGTGGCCTGGAGATGCGGAGCTCCTGGGTCTCTGTTTTTTAAACTGCTGCTTTCCTTTGGGTGGTTGTGCCTCAGTGGAAAGTAAGGCGAGCCTTTTTTTTTTTTTTTATGGGGTCCTGCAAGAAATAGGCTGGAAAGACCCGGTGAGGAAGAAATTCTTTAACAGCTGTTTTTAGCTTTTTAAGGTGATTGATTTTCAGACGTGGCTTCCTATCAGAAAACCAATCAACTGAGGAGCTCTTTCAAAGCCAAGATAGCAAGACCACACCCCAGACCTGCATCAGGAAGTGGGGGACAGGGCTGATGGAGGCTGAAAAGTCGCTTCGGCTGATTCTGATGTGTATCAGTTTGGGAAGTCACCGATCTAACCAATATTATGTCCTGAAAGCCCCACTCAGTGTCCTGGCGTGAGTTGGATTACAGATGCCCTAAAAATGTGGGTAATAGAAGCTTTCATAAGGGTTATGTTTATTTGAGAAACATGTACTCTGGGATTTTTATGTAGTGCAACAGCTGTTTTAACGTTAGGGTCATGAAGTGCTTTTTTCTGATAGTGTTCCCAAGAAATTTATTCTTTGATCTGGTATAAGTCCTTAAAAGAAGACACATGGAAACATTTTTCATTTATTCGTTCAAAAATATTGACCTCTTAATATATGTATCAGGTAGTGTTTGAGAGACGGATTACAGCAGAGGACAAAGGAGATCCTTACCTTCAAGGAGTTTGCAAGCTAATGAGGAATAGAGTGAAGAAATAAAATGGAGTCATTTATAGTCAAGATGCTAAATGACTGAAATGAAGTAGGTTGTGATATGAGGAAACGATTCTGTTCTTGTTTTAACTAACCTGGGGATTTAAACTTTTGAATTTGACAGGACTGCAGCAATGCCTGGACATATGTCAGACTTCCAGATAACCCTGATTACATCCGGAGTACTCACCAATTTGGACCACCTGACATCTGACTGATAACCATCCTGGACCAATCTTAGAGCTAAGAGTGCAGAACTGATTATTCTCCAAAATGCACTTTTTTCTATCAGAACTCTTTCTTCTTCGGAACACTTCTGGGTTTTTGCCTAGTTGTGTTTCCAGTTTGCAAACCTTAAGACCCTTGAATAAATCATTTCATTTCTAGCCAAAGCCCCCAAGCTGTTTTAGTTCATTTGACACTAATGGAAGAAAATTGAAAATAAATATATGTTGGGGAGTAATAAATACTATGAAGAAAAATAATCAGGGTGAGAGAGATTAGAGAGGATTGGGGGAGGCCTCTGTTGATAGGTGAACAAGGCTTGTCGCTCTCTTGCAGAAGAGTATTACAGGCAGAGGCACAAACAGTAAGTAAAAAGGTCCTGAGACAAAAGGAGATTCTTGGCTTGTTAGAGGAACAGCAAGGAGTCACTGGCTGGAGTTACTTGAATAAGGGAAAGAATAGTAGAACATGAGATAAGAGAATTAAGGGGGCCAGGTCATATGCAGAAATGGTCTTCAATTTTTTAACTGTTATGCCCTTGAAAAGAACTTGAAAAGTTATTTTCTCCCCTCAAACATAAGTTGAGTCAAATTTTCATCTTGAGTGTAAATAGTTCCAAAAAGTATAATTTCTGACACTTTGCAATTAATATTTCTAAATTATTAATATTACGTTACTTTTAAATCTATCCAATGGGGGCTGGCCGAGTGGCGCGATGGTTAAGAACTGGCTTGGGACGCCAGAGGGCCCCGGTTCGGATCCCACATATGAGGGCCAGTGACACTGCCCTCTACAGCTAAGATGCTGAACAAAAGCTCAACCTGGAGCTGGGCTGCCGTGAGTCGCTGGCAATGGCGTAGGCTGCAGCCGCTGTGGCAGTGGGTTGCCGTGTGTAGCCAGCAGCCAGTGTGAGCGGCCAGCAGCCGCAGTGAGTGGCCGTCCAGAAGCCGGCGACTGATCTGCCTCACCCGGAAAGGGCGCAATGATGGTGCCAACTTGGGCCAGTGAAGCAACGTCCTCCAAAACTAGATTGAAGAACAAAAAGACAGCAACTTGTCTGTTCCCCTTCCCCCAATTCCCCAGCACTGTTCCCATTCCCCCAATTCCCGCCCCCCCAAAAAAAAACAAAACTTTAAATCTATCCAATGGGACAGTAAACACTAAACTGGATTAACAAACACCAGCATCCACTCTTATTTTTTATTTTTTTTTAAAGATTTTTATTGGGGAATTGGGTGTATAGGAACAGCGCTGGGGAATTGGGGAAGGGGAACAGACAAGTTGCTGTCGTTTTGTTCTTCAGTCTAGTTGTGGAGGACGTTGCTTCACTGGCCCAAGTTGGCACCATCATTGCGCTCTTCCCGGGCAAGGCAGATCAGTCACCGGCTTCTGGATGGCCGCTCACTGCGGCTGCTGGCCGCTCACGCTGGCTGCTGGCTGCATATGGTAGCCCATGGCAACCCACTGCCACAGGGGCTGCAGCCTACGCTGTCGCTGGCAACCCACGGCAGCCCAGCTCCAGGTCGAGCTGTTGTTCAGCATCTTAGCTGTGGAGGGCAGTGTCACTGGCTCTCGTATGTGGGATCCGAACCGGGGCCCTCTGGCGTCCCAAGTCAGTTCTTAACCATCGCGCCACTTGGCCGGCCCCACTTTATCTTTTTGATATTTATTTTTCAATTACAGTTGACATACAATATATTAGTGTCAAGTATACAACATAGTGATTTAGACATTTAATATAAATACGAAGCGATCTCCGCAACAAATCTAGAACCCGTCTGACACCATAGATAGTTATTATAATACTATTGACTATATTCCCTAAGTTAAATTTTACATGCCCATTACTATTTTGTAACTACCAATTTGTACCTCTTTATCACCTTTCCCCCTTCTCCAATCCTCCTTAACCCCTCCCCATCTGGCAACCATCAAAATGTTCTCTGTATATAAGAGTTTGTTTCTGTTTTGTTTGTTCATTTATTTTGCTTTATACATTCCACAATAAGTTAAATCACATGGTGTTTGTCTTTTTCTGTCTGACTTATTTCACTTAGCATAATCCCTCTAGGTCTATCCATGTTGTTGCAGATGGCAAGATTTCATTCTTTCTATGGCTGAGCAATGTTCCATTTTATATATGTCACTTCTTTATCCATTTGTCTTTTGATGGACACTTAGGTTGCTTTCATATCTTGGCTAATACCACAATGAACATATGGATGCACATGTCTTCTCGAATTAGTGTTTTGGATTTCTTTGGATAAATACCCAGAAGTGGAATTACTGGTCCTTCTGGTTTCTTGTTACAGCCTTTATTTTAAAGTCTATTTTGTCTGGTATAAGTATTGCTACCTCAGCTTTTTTTTTTTCATTTCCATTTTCATGAAATATCTTTTTCCATCCCTTTACTTTCAGTCTGTGTGTGTCTTTCAATCTGAAGTCTCTTGTAGGCAGCATATGTAAGGGTCTTGTTTTCTTAGCCAGTTATCGACCCTATATCTTTTGATTGGAGCATTTAATCAATTTACATTTAAGTGATTATTGGGAGCCGGCTGAGTGGCTCTGTTGGTTAAGAGTGTGAGCTCTGGGCCAGCCAAGTGGTGCATTGGTTAAGAGTTGGCTTGGGACGCCAGCTCTGAGCAGCAGGACCCCGGTTCAGATCCCACATGAGGGCCAGTGACGCTGCACCATCTACAGCTAAGATGGTAAACAACAGCTCGACCTGGAGCTGCGATGCTGTGAGTTGCCGGTGACAATGTAGGCTGCAGTGAGGCTGGCCAGCAGCTGGTGTGCACTTTCATAAACTGCTGTGAGCCACCGCCCAATGGTCGATGTCCTCCACAACTAGACTGAGGAACAAAAGGATAGCAACTTGTCTGTTCCCCTTCCCCGATTCTCCAACACTGTTCCCCTCCCCCAATTCCCCAATAAAATCTTTAAAAAAAAAAAGTGTGAGCTCTGAGCAGCAGGGTTGCCAGTTCAATTCCCACATGGGCCAGTGACCTGAGCCCAAGCTGAGTTGTCACTGAGCTGCCAACAGGTGCAGGATGGCTCAGCTGGTGAGAGTATGTGCTCCCAACAACAAGGTTGCCAGTTCAACTTCCACGTGGGACGGTGGGCTACACCCACCCACAACTAAGACTGAACACGGCACCTAGAGCTGAGCTGCTGACGGGCGGCCGGATGGTTTACTGGTCAGAGCGTGCGCTCTTAGCAACAAGATTTCCAGTTTGACTCCTGCACGGGATGGTGGGCTATGCCCACCCACAGCTAAGATTGAACACAGCACCTTGAGCTAAGGAACTGCAAGCTGCCATTGGGAGGCAGGATGGCGACTGGACTTGGAGCTGAGCTAGCTGCGCCCTCCACAACTAAGATTGAAGGACAACAACTTGGCTGTTTCCCTTCCCCAATTCCCCAACACTGTTCCCCTTCCCCAATTCCCCAATAAAATCTTTACTAAATAAATAAGTAAAGTGATTATTGATAGGTATTTAGTTATTGCCATTTTATTCATATTTTTTATCTTTTTTTCCCTCTTAAAGAAGTAACATTTCTTGTAATACTGTGTTGGTGGTGATGAACTCCTTTAGCTTTTTCTTGTCTGGGAAACTATCTGTCCTTTGATTCTAAATGATAGCTTTGCTGGGTAGAGTAATCTTGATTGTAGGTCCTTGCTGTTCATCACTTTGACTATTTCGTGCCAATCCCTTCTGGCCTGCAAAGTTTCTGTTGAGAAATCAGTTGACAGTCTTATGGGAGGTTTCTTGTAGGTAATGAACTGCTTTTCTCCTGCTGCTTTACCTCTGTCGTTAACCTCTCTTTGTCTTTAATCTTTGGTATTTTAATTATGATGTGTCTTGGTATGGGCCTCTTTGGGTTCATCTCATTTGAGACTCTACACTTCCTGGGCTTGTATATCTATTTCCTTTGCCAGCTTAGGGAAATTTTCCATCATTATTTCTTCAAATCGATTTTTAATTCCTTGCTTTCTCTCTTCTCCTTCTGGTTACTCTTATGATGTGAATGTTGGTACGCTTGTTGTTGTCCTTGAGGCCCCTTAAACTATCCAATTTGTTTGGATCCTTTTTCTTTTTGCTGTTCTGTTTGGGTGCTTTCTGCTACCTTATGATCTAAATTGCTGATTCAGTCCTCTGCTTCATCTAATCTACTGTTGAGTCCCTCTAATGTATTTTTTATTTCAGTTATTGTAGTCTTGATTTCTCCCTGATTCTTTTTCATGTTTTCTATCTCCATTTTTATGTTTCCTATCTCTTTGTTAAAGTTCTCACTGAGATCATTGAGCGTCCTTATAACCAGTGTTTTGAACTCTGCATCTGGTAAATTGTTTGTCTCCATTTTGTTTCATTTATTTTCTGGAGCTTTGTTCTGCTTTTTCATTTGGGACATGGTTCTTTGTCTCCTCATTTTGGCTGCCTCCCTGTTTTTGTTTCTATGTATTAGATAGAGCTGCGATGTCTCCTGGTTTTACTAGAGTGGCCTTATGTAGTAGGTGTCCTATGGGGCCAGTGGCTCAATCTCCCTGGCCAGAGCCAGGTGCTCCAGGTGTGTCCCTTGTGTGTGCCCTCCTGTTGTAGTTGAGCCTTAGTTGCTGTTTGCACATCAATGGGAGGGATTGACCTTCAGGCTGATTGGTTGTGAGGACTGGCTATGACTACAGTAGAGGAGCTGGTGTACAGGGACTGACCCTATGGAACAGGATTCACTTTAGCAGGGGTATGATGCCTACCCAGATTGCCCTTTGGATGTGTCTTCTGTGGAGTTGGTTGGGTGGTGCTCTGGTGTGGTCTGAAGCTAGCCACCAGGTGTGTTGGTTCTGAGGTTTCTTGGGGGTGGGGCACTCTTGTGCAGGCCAAGGTCAGCTGCTGCCTGTGCCCTGCCCAGGGTCACTTGGTATGAGCTACAAAGTGATTGCAGATGGTTGCCACTTGTGCTGGTCTTAGAGGTGCCTGAGAGAGGCTAAGCTGCAAATCAAGGCTGGCTTTCCTGGAAAAATCACTTGTTGTGGGTCAGAGTGGAAGAAGGAAGACCAGTTAGGCTGCTAATACAATAAAGGTTGATTGGACCAGGGTTGTTTCTGTGCAGGCGGTGAAAAATATGGAGTACATATAAGAAAGAGCAAATACTTTTCTCCAAA